CTGATTTTAAAATACCATGGCCCGACTGCTTGTCATATTCGACCCCTTTCACAGTACTCATCTTACCTTTTTCTCTCCCTTTGTGTCTGTCTGCCTCTTTTACATCTGTGAATCGCTCTTCTGTTCCCCCCTCGACTTTCTGCTACTTTGATGAACCTACCCTCTGTGAAGCCCGAAGTCAGCTAAAGGGTTAATGATAGCTATCAAAACGCCTGCCATTTGAAATAAATAAATATATATATTTCTCTATTTATTAATAAATCTAGCAGGAAACATACAAGTTGAAATAGCAAATGCAAGAGTGGCATTTAACCGCAGGGATTCAATATGATGGGTTGTTAACCCGAAGAGCATTTTCTCCTGATTTTCAAAATGTCTTTGTAAGGATCTGTACTGAAATCAATGTCAAAATGGTTGCTATTTTTCCAATTGGTGGTGATTCAACAGCTCCTGTCTTTCTATGGACTTAAAATGAGAAGAGGGTTATTGTTTGAGCGAGAGAAAGATAGGGGGTTTGAATACTGTAATTTTCTGCGTTTATGCTCATTTCTTTTGCTTATTATGGAACAGAATGAGGCAGAAGTTCATGGAGGGCTGAGACGATCATATCTAGATTAAAATAAAATGAAAGATTTCATTTAAGTTCAGTGTTCATAGAGGTCAATAGGACACAGTCACTAGTCTAGATCTCACAGACAAGATTCGAGATTTGAGATGATGGATTTCACAATCACAGAAGAACAAGAAAAACTTTTTTGGAAGAATAGCTGGATTTCACATCAATAAAACTTTCGCGAAATTTCATTTGTGACCAATTTTTAAATTTAATTATTTATTTGTACCAAATGACAGGCGTTTTGATGGTTACATTAGCACTTTAGTTGACTTCAGGTTTCACAGAGGGAACGAACATCGAAGCAAAAAAATGTTGGAAGGAGAGGGGGGGGGGGGGGAACAGAAGCGTGTTTCAAAGACGAAGGTAGAAAAAGATAGAAACAATGTGAGGTGAGTACTGTGAAAGTCGTCGAGTATGACATGCAGTGGGGTTATGGTAGTTTGAAGTCAGAATTCAACTGCCGGTTGATAGACTTTCTCGCCGCATTATTATACGTTGCCCAGTGTGCAGCACGTTGAGGTACGTCTATCGCACACCGCACCAATTTTTAAATAAAATATGCTTTAAATAATTGAAAGGAGGTTTAGTCAACAAGCTCGAAACGCTCAAAATTTCTCCGTGAGGTTACTTTTGATGCTATGCGCTCAATACTATTTAAAACAGACTTTGGTAGGCATACCTAGCATAAAATTCAATTCATTTTAGTCCTTAATTATCACTGATTACCTGTTTTCAATCACAAAAATATGACTCTTTATAAAACCGTCTGTGAACAACCTACAAGTTGGTTGTATTTAATTAGCTTCCAATAATGCAAATTGAAGAGCAAATTGACGAGAATGCACTATTGGTTGCTATCAAAGCTTCAATTTCTCAGTGATAACTTATATGGCCTTTGAGAACTAAGGGCATCTAGCAAAGATGTTTGGCTTAACAGAGTTCACTTAATCTTGATAAACACAGTAGATAGAGTATATGTGGTGGGAATTGGTTTTAAGAATATAAAAAGTTATTAATTAATCTGCAGAGCATTTAATCTAAAGCATATTCTACTATTTTTGAACTTTTTAAAGAAGTCAACTAAGACCTAACAGAGAAGTAAATTTACTTTTTAAGGCCAATTCTCATAGTTGAGGGAAATGAAACCAGATTTAATTTAGCTCTAAAAGAAATGCAATTGTTCTTGCTAAATGCTACACCGAAACTATTCAAAATTCAATTCTCACCTGATTAACAGTCCAACAAAATTTAATGGTTTATCTTAAATATAAATATATATTTATATGTAAATATAGGAATTTAGAATTCATTTGCTTCTTTCTCTAAAACCTAAAACGGTAGTACTTTTTTCATTTACTAGGTTAGTCCTGACAATCAGATCAAATCTTTCATAAATATTCGGAAATTTTAAAACTTTTTTACGGTAAAGTGCCATTGAGAAATCCTTTTTATTATGTCAAAATATTTCCTAACAGAAAGAAAACTTTAGATATTAAAATATTTGTTTTCTTTTTTACACACCCTATTCAATTTAATTCAACTTAAATTTTCAAAATAATCATGATGAATATTATTCGATCATTTGTGACATTGATTAAATCAAATCTATCTTGCAGTTAAAATAGAAAAAAAGTGAAATTGAAAGCGCTATTTTTGTTAAAATGATAATTGAGAACTTGCAAATTGTTGGAAAATAAAATTTTGAAAGTTTATTATTTTCAAATGTGGCAAATTATTATCCAATTATAACAAGTACTAAATTAGATGGAGGTAATAATTCATAAAAACCCAAGAAGTTAATATTTTGAATATTAAATATTGTTTTTTTAAATTTTATAAAAATTTGAACTTATTCCAGAATTTTTTAATAGAATGAGATTGGCACAAAATGCCAACAGCTGTTTTGTTCTACTGCTTTAAATGGAAATTGGATAAATGTTCTCGTTAACGACTGAGTAGATTTTGATGAGAAAAAGTTCGTCCCACGTTCATTTGCGCATTTTTAATTTAAAGCTATTCAAACTATTCAAGTCCCTTTTAGTCACTTTTAATCAAAGTAAATTTATTTATTTAATTCAAATGGCAGGCGTTTTGATAGATATCATTAGCCCTTTAGCTGACTTCGGGCTTCACAGGGGGAAGGAACATCAAAGTAGACATAAAGTCGAGGGATAGGGAATAGAAGAGTGGTTTACAGTTGTAAAAGAGACTGATACAAAGGCAGAGAAAAGGTAGGATGATTACTGTGGAAGTGGTAGAATATGGTATCCAGTGGGGTTATGGTAGTTTGAAGTAAGAAGTCAACTGCCGGTTAATAGACTTTTTTGCCGTATGAATATACGTTGCCCAGGATGCACCACGTGGAGGTAAGTCTATCGCACACCCCTAATCAAAGTAAATGATGTGTACAAATTAATCTTCATAATTTTTTTAAGGTAAAATAGAATTCGTAAGTAAAGTAAGTGAGCAAACAAACTCAAAATAAATAAAAAATAACCCCCAAATTTTTTTTTCTACGCAAAGAAAGGTAAAAAGCAATGAATTATATTTAATTAATATAAGCAGAAAATGCGTTCACATTTAGCAATATGAGTTCCCCAACAGAGTGACTTCGAGAGATCTTCGAAGTTAAATGGGCGTTGCCCCTGGGAGTTAACTTTATAGATTTCATGTCGAAGTTTTCGAGCTACTTTTTAGGATGAAAATGATTTTACTAGAGGGAGCATTTATAAGAGAATTAAAAGTGAATAATTTTATAATACTTTTACATACTTTTAAAAGAAACCAGAAACTAATTAATGAGGTGTTAATATTCAATCAAGGTCATTATGTAATCAGGCAGGTTAGTGAAAAAAGCAATAATCGATAATTGGGCTCTATTACTATCTCCTCGACTATCGTTAACTTTTAATCACAGTTTGAGAACGTTGTTTCCTCTTTTTTTCATATTCATTGTCCATGCAGGTTCGACGAACAGTGCGCTTAACCTTAGACAGAGTTGTGTGCCCTTGTTGTTCGCCTAAACCTCGCAAACTTCTCATGCGTTGTACCTGCTGCGGTCTCATAGACCCTCAATACAAGGACACAGCCCCAGTGACCAAGAACAGTATTCCAATGCAACCATCATCCCAGCATAGGAAGAACGACGAGGCGACTCCACAGCAATGTGGCTGTGCTCGAAATAGTTGCAGAGCGGTGAAATTCGATTTCCCTGTTGAATCATCCCACAAACCTTCTGACTGGATTCAGATCTACGTGAGTACAGAGACGGTTTGCTTGCTGTTTCCATCCTTCCATTTTTGAAATTTTTGGATGCACATTTCCCATTTCATAATTTGTCAAATTTAAGTCTTTTAATTTTAATTATTATTTTATTATTACTCAAGGCAGACGGAAACATCATCTATATTATGGTAGAGTGTGCAGACGTAAATTTTCAAGAAAATATTTCTGGTTGTAGCACATAAACACAAAATGAGAAACCGTAGGATTTTTATGTCCTCAAATTGACATACTTCATACTATTGGCATAAAAATTTAGAATACTATCCTACAGTAGACAATTCTTCATAGTGTATTTTAAAATATATCAGCAGAAAACTGAAATTCATTCAACGGACCTTCAGTATCTCATAATTTCTATTTCAAATTATAAGTGGCAGTTTGAAGTAATTTTGTATTCTTAGATTGTGGTAGCGTTGCGTTGAAGTTCCAATACAACCAGAAAGTTTCATGAAATTTAAAAAAACAAAACGACATGTTTTTGGAAACTCTATTTCTAACTGAAAACGCATAAATTATTTATAAATTTGTCGTATGCATGCCTTTTTGAGATGGCATTTAAAAGTGGATCTCCGATTTTATGAAAAATTTAAACAAACCATTAATCCTTCTCATATTTTCATTTATTGCGATTTATTGCAATTAATTTCCGTTTCAAGGCAAGCTTGTCCGTTGGGGAACAATAGCTGTTCATGCGGTTGAATAGCGTATTCGGCACGCGAATCAGACAACGAGATTTACGGCCTTGCAGTTTTTGACTGATCTATTCTCTACTTTGACATGAAAGGTTTCAGTCATACTTGAATTCCATCTTTGAATCAAACACCCGATAGCGTCAAAATTTTAAGTTGTTTAAGTTTGCGAGAACTCATTCAATTAAAGGCCACTTTCAAACATTTTATCTCGCATATGAACTCAATGGTTAAGTGAATATTTATGCATACCTTTAAATAAATTTGTAACCAAAACAATTTCATACTCTAATTTTCTAATAATGTCATCCAAGTTTATAGCTCCCCTGGGATGTTCTAGGTTTATTACCGGACAGAAGTATAGTTTTCGTCAGGTAATTGCTGATAAGTTAATTACCATCTCAATTAAGTAATCAATCATTATGTACCGTTTTGGAAGAAATCTTAATTGTATTTTTTGTGAGAATGAAGATGATTTTGAGGAGTATGTATTAGATAATTAATTAATTACTTAACTTTTATTTGCAAACTGCAGAATGTAGGAGGTTCAAAAGGATTCGCAGAGGAATATTTTGTTAGGCCAAAATAGAATAACTTAAAATAGCAGAAGACAAAAGGTGAGGAAGTTGAGTGGTGAAAAGTGAAGAGTGGTAAATGCCTGGTAGAAACCGAGGAATTGGGCTATACATGAGTAAATGTGATATAAATGCACAAACAGTAAGTTTGAAAAACGAAGTTGAGAAGGTAAGGCTTAAGACATGGAGAGTGTGATGAATGTGAAGATGAGTACAATTCGACGATCATTTCTTTCTCTGTGGGAGTTTTAAATTGATTTACGCTTACCAAACCATCTTTTAATGAACTCAAATAATCTTGAAACAATCAAATTTTGGTGAGGCAACAACATTTTGATTGTAAAATACCGATTAACTGAGGCGCAGTATATCAATATGAACCTGATGTTTAAACAAATTTTCTGTATAGACAACTGATAATTTAGTCATTCAATTACTTTTTCTCAGGATCAACTTAGCTGAAAGAAGGCTGGCTAAGGGGCATGGTGTTTCGATCTTTCATTTTTTAGATCCTGACTTCACGCGGTTTTAAACCATAAAAGAGAATATCTACAATTGAAATTAATCAAGGTGTGTTCGACTTTTGACCTCCAAAAACAATTACCATGACGACAGTCTGTATTAAAGTGTACCGCTTTTTTTGTTTATTTAATAACTTCATTATTAGTCTGGACGCCTTACGTATTTGGTTGAATTATTAGGGAGGAGCGAAATTGAACTTAAGACACTGATTCAGATAGCAGAATAAATTAAATTAAAAGTAAATTAAAATAACAAGCGAAAGGTATTTGCCTTGCTTATAATTAACTAAAATAATTTATTTTTTTCCATAAAGAACTACTTAAAGTCAATTTTTTTATTTTACCGTTTATCTTTTCACATCAATACTTTCTTGAGAACAAAAATGGAGGAAATATTTTTTTAAAATGCAATCTATAATTATTACTTATAAATAATATGCTCACAAGCCTTGTAATTCGCATGCGGTTTTTATCTCAAATATTTGTTATTAACCGGATTTGAATTGTTTTTTTTTGTGAATTTGGATTGCAATTCATGGAATTTACAGTGAATTTCTACTCAAATAAAGCCTTGACTAACTTAGAAATCTTTAAGGCAGATTCTCCTATATCTAGATAGACTCCCAGAGCAAGCTAAGCTACATCCCCGCTCTAGAGGTAGTGGACTCATGTTTATTTGGGGAGTATACCGTAGTAAAAGTGCACATGCCGGAGGATTAGTCATAATCAACATGGCGGATAAGATAAAACAAACGGAGGCTTTTGATTGGTCGTTGGTTGTACGTGCATGTGATTACTTGTTGGGCGATGACGTGTCCCAAAATTTGTTAACAAATTACAGCTCGATTGTTTATGGTTTTGTTTTCGAAACAAACGGCGCTTTATAAAACCTCATGGTTGCAATAATACCCCTCAATGGCTGTAAGGGCTAAATTACAACTGAATTAAAATTGATGCTCGCATATATCATGAATAATACGCATTGTTTATAGTGGACCTTGGTAATGAAGTAATGCGACAATTTAAATTTAGGAATTTAGACACGAGCGCACTGTTTTGTTAATGAACTCTGATAATTAAATGTAGCTATTGCAAATTAGGTACAAATACCAATACAATCTAAATCAAGGCTAAAATAAATGTGTAAATGAAAATTTTGAACGTAGTAAATATTGGGGGTATAGCGAGAAGTGAATTAATAAGTAGATAGCGGTATACTTTGTTTAATGGGTTACAGTTGAGGTCAATAAAAAATGCACTTTTCTTCCATCTTCAGCATTATCAACTTAATAGTAAGTCCTTTAATTTGAAAAGTAGGCCAGAGGATAATAGGTTCACGAATTCGAGTTTCCGGAAGTCAACATACCTGTCTAAGATGGGTCCGGCAATGGTGCTCTGAATATCTTCTAAAATAGCTATCTAATAGGTCATATTCAAGTTAATATGGTTATGTCTGATTATTTTGCGACTGTAGCTGTAGATTAGAGTTAAAAAATAGTTTAAAAATTATGCACTTAATGGAGAATGATTGTCCCTGATTTGTTTGTCTGCGCATTCCAGTATGTTTTGAGAACAGCTTTGGCATTTCAATTGGTAATATTTACGAAATTTACTAGTGTACTACAGTCTTGACATGTCAGGACATGGAGATATTTACAATTTAAATAGTTCAAACAAAAGAGTGCGTTAAATAAAAATTAATTGCTGACAGCTTTTTAGCATGAACCAGACATTTCATTCAAATAGTATTTATCCATATTTATTCATATCAAATGGCAGGCGTTCTGATAGTTATCATTAGCACTTTTGTTAACTTCAGGCTTCACAGAGGGGAAGGAACATCAAAGTGAAAAAAGTCTAGAGGGGGGGGGGGGAAACAGAAGAGTGCTTCAAAGACGAAGGTAGAAAAAAGGTGGGGTGAGTACTGTGAAAGTAGTCGAATATGACATACAGTGGGATCATGGCAGTTTGAAGTCAGAAGTCAACTGCTCATTGATAGACTTTTTTGCCGTATGAATATACGTTGCCCAGGGTGCACCACGTGGAGGTAAGTCTATCGCACACCCCTCATTCAAATAGTAATACTACTTTATGCTCAAATAAGAGTGCGCATTTCCTCAATTTTCCAAATTAGCTCAAACTACCTGTTTTTTGGCGCAATGTAAGCAAAACTTTGCTAAAAAATGTACACACCTTCGATGTTTATTTTTTTGTGAAATAACGACAGCAATAGACTGCTTAATTTTAAAAATTTTATCCTTTTAAATTTTTTGAAAAAATTGAGTCGGTTGATACAGAGTTCATTAGGGAATAAATTTGATTAGACATAAGAGTACGGAGGTTCAAATTTTTTGGGGTTACGAGTTTTAAAATAATTATTCATTGAGTAATGCATTTTCATAAAATCACAATTCATGATTAAACTTCAGGATTAAAAAAATTACAAATTCTGGCTAGTCTTATTGAACAGATTTTGATATGGTATCTATCTGCGGGACGGATCGAAAATATTAAAAATAATTAAATAGTGCACTTTATTTGATCCATACTCTTAAGTTTAATTAAACACCTTATATGGAATTAATTAGTGTACTTTGAATGCTTCTAAAATTTTTTTGACGTATATTAATTGTAAAAAAGGATTAATTTTAACTATTCAAAGTTCAACTTTCAAATAATATATAAAAAATATTACTTAAAATTGTTTATGAAAGGTCAAAGCGCTTTTCAGCGGATTCAAATAGCTGATTCCATTTATAAAGTCTTGTAATTTGAACAGCAGTGGTAATAATCGATAAAATCCACTATCAGTTTGAAAGTGCCACGTTTATATCGAGTAGATTGAAATTAAAAATCAATAGCTGGAATTCGGGCGGTCTGCGATCAGAGATAGTAGAACGCGGTTCAGGGAAGAAAGAAGATGAATAATAACATAGAACAGATTAGCTAATTTCCTGAGAGTTTTTACGTTGTCTTACACACTTCATCGCTAAGTTGTCTTAAGATTGTATGAAATTGCAATAATTATTGATTGAGGGATAGTAATTCTACGATGAAACTCGGTGAACGTTATAAGTAGGACTTAATAAATTTTGTTTTCAAAACAATTTTTTTGAGGTACACTTATGAATAAACGCGTAGCCTTCAACCTCTTGGAAAGACTTATCATTCATCTATATGGCATTCATTTATTTGTTAGGACAATAAAGGCGCATTGGATCAGTCTCCCCATCCAACAATACGACAAAATAACTTCTCCCAGAAATATCAAAATTTGGATCACGGTAATTGTACAACAGCTGCTGTATTAGTAGCATCTCCCAGAACAACAAATAGTCAAGACGAGAACGTAAGATTACGCCGATCTTCGCGCTACCAAACCCAAGCAGCTCATAGCAACGACATTCCGATGTCAATTCTTCCATCATACCGGCAGCGACGAAAAGGTCAAAAGGTGACCTTCTCCTCACATTCCAATAATAATCGTCGTAATCGCAGAAGTATAGATACGGCTTTATGCCAACAGCATCCTCTTCCAGAAAGATACCTCCGAGTTCGCGAAGTTGAAATTGACGAAGAAACTGAGGGTGCGAAACAAAATTCCTCCAAATCTACAGAGGACGGAGACTTGAATTCGGAGATTGATGCTTACAGTAGGTTTCTCTTTCCCTGTTGTTTCGTTGTCTTCAGCTGCGGCTATTGGGGCTTCTATCTCATCATCTCCGATCCGAGTTTTGCGGATACTTGAAGTCTCTGATCAATTTTGAAACCTGCTTTTTGAATGCTCAATTGACCATTGAAGGTAAAAAATGGGATTTCCAATGAGTGATGAAAGCCAGATTCGGCTCAACATCTTTTCTTTCTGCAGCCCTGACCCACTTCTAAAAATCCTCTTTCCTTACGTATATATCTGTTTATCCAAGTGTTAATTTTCTCTTCCTCAATGTTTACTTAGCACCAATATTTTATAAAGCTTAGTGAGTAAGTGAAAAGAATACAATTTTGAATTGAAATTGGAATTTATTTTAACTTTTATTTGACTTGAGTGATGTAAAATGCAATTTAATACCAGTAGAATAGTGCTAAAGTACGATTAGGAATGCCAACTATGTGCGAATGTGTGCTTAAAGATCATTAATCTCAATTTCATCTCCATTGAATCTGGTTGAGCAGAGAGATTCTAGATAATCATTAATCTCTGTCCATTTTAATTGAAATAAATGTTTGACTCTTCTACTCTAGCTCAATTCTCTCTTCTTAAAGTCCCTCAATAATTCAAGGATTCATTACTCTTTTATTTCACGTGACAATACTTTTCTAGCTTAGAGAGCATTCGATAAGATCCATCTCCTTCGTTTAGAAAGTGTGTCAACCATTTCTGTATTTTTTTTGGGTTGGTTATTTGCTATTGAAACATTATCGCACCTTCCGATTAATCAACTCGATTTGTGTTTTAATCCGTTTCACTTAGGAAAGAATGATCAATGCTTCTTAAGCACTGGATCAATAGTGATTAAAGTACACCTTCGAAACCTCTTTTTATTCATGCATACACATTATTGGTCTAAGCGGTTGGTGGGTTTTTCTACAAGGTGCCAATAATTTTAGAGTAATTAATTAGTTGGGGTCGGGGGAGGTTGAAGTGTATTATTATTATTGAATATCCTGTGTGCAATTTTAAATCAATGGAACTATTAATTGGTAAATATTGTGTAAATGAAACAATTTTAAGCCTCCCCATACTATATTGACTTCTTCAAGTCAATACACGCGTTTTGTTTAATCACAACCCCCTGTCTTTTGAACTTGGTGTTGGAAATCAATCGACCATTGTGTGGGGAGTTCTATTTTGCTTCTTCACCCACCCATAGTCCTGCCACTTCCTCCTTCTCTTCGAAGTGACTCATTTTCTCCTCCCCAAGCATGTAATCACACCCTCCCTCCCCCCTCAGACCCGTTTCTTCCTGAATGCAGGCATTATGATGATAATCAATAGTCCTTTCGTTAAATTCGGCCTTCGCTGAGGGAAGGAACATCAAAGTCGCAAAAAAGTAGAGGTGGAGGGGAGGGGGAGACAGAAGAGTGATTCCCAGGTGTAAGATAGACAGACAGATACAAAGGTAGAGAGTAGGGCAAGGTGAGTACTGTGGAAGTGGTGGAATATGACATACATTCGGATCAAGGAAGTTTGAAGTTAAAACTCAGCTGCCGGTTTATGGTCATTTTTTGCCGTACGAGTATACGTTTCTCACTTTGCACCACGTGGAGATAAGTCTATTGTTCACCCCCCCCCCATGAACCATAAATACTCCTATTACTTCTATTTAACTCGCTTAATCCACCCTTGGTGTAAATCGAGAAACCTCTAATCCTACCGACCATTCAACCCATCTCATCCGTTGACCTCCAACGTTCCTCCCACCCCAATCTTTCATACTATCGATGCATGCTAGTAAGTGTAAGATGAAAGACAATAACAATCTGGCAACAATTCTTAAGGAACTAGTCACTTGTATAACAGGCTATGAAATATAATAATTTCATGAAAAAATATTGTTTCTCAATTTAAATAAAAAATTAATCCCTAGGAATCTTGCCTTGATTCTCGTTTGATCCTTCCTTACTTGAAATTATATCATTACTTTACAAAAACACTGATTGCATACGAAACAAATGGACAATCAATAATTAAAGCATATTCCTTTTTTTCAAAATTTCATTTTCTAATTAAAATCAAGCAGCTTTTCATGCTTATTAATTCGTTTTGCTTCTCATTGCAGTGAAAACATAGGAAGGGTCGGAAGATAGTATTTTTCAGCATTTTTTGAATTAAAATTAATTTGGATGTATCTGTCGGCTTGCATGGGTCGTTAAGTGCATTCGATCAACTTCCCCACACGAGGTACGTGAAATTCCCAAGGTACTATTCGAAATTGAAATTGAAAAGGTGGGGGGCGGGGACGATGGAGGTTGGGGGTGGGGTAGGCTGGGGTGTGGTGGGGGGGGGGGGGGGGGGGGGGGGGGGTAGGTATTTTCAATTTAATCCTGTCTAGATGTCATTAAATTTATGAAGTCAATATGATTAAAACATTATCAGTAAATTTTTCGTTTTGTGAAATACGAGTTAAATATCAAGTTGGTTAAATATAGATATCGCGGTTACCGGACAGGAAGAGAGGTAAAATATTTCTTTATTAGCAAAAAATAAAAATTACCTCTATAGTTTGACATCCAATTCAAACCTGCTTGCCCTTTTCATAGCCTAAAACTGTCAATAAGTTCATTTTCATTAGAGGGAATAGCTTTCTAGGCACACTGCAACCACATAAAAGTTAACTTTCATCAATTCTCTTATGATTTTATTTCCAATCCAGTGAGAAAATTAAACTTTGGATTTGAGTGCATTAAAAGAATGGATGTTCGCGTCACTTAAATCTTCATTTTAGAAGAGAAATGGTGACTAGCGATGGCATTGCAATATGCTAAAACATTTTATCGCAAAATCAAATACTGGCCACCTTATTGCCTTCTGTTAGTAACCTGCTATCTCAAAGTTTGCGCCTCTTGTCAGGCACTAGGTCGAATCGAATTTAAAACAAAGTTATCACAGTAATTCGATTATGCACAAAATGTAGAGCCAAGTATTCAAATTTTTCTCCATGGCAACGAAGCCCTGAAAGCACGGAAATAAATATGTCTAATTTTCAGGTTGTAAAGACATTAAAAAATTTAAGAGTAGTACACATTTTTGCTTTTTGGGAATCACCAACCACAAAAGCGCTAGACGTTGAAAGTTGGACCTAGTTCACTTTTAACTTCAACCTTTATCCGTTGGACACATGTCATTTCGTTAGTCTAAAATTTATGTCTTTTCAATTATGCGTATTCATTCCTAATTGCTTCCAATATATATCTAGTCGACCAGTATGTTTTAAATTGTTAAGCTAATATTTTCATGAAGGGGTGTGCGATAGAATTACCTCCAAGTGGTGCACACTGGGCAACGTATACTCATACGGCAAAAAAGTCTACTAACCGGCAGTTGACTTCTCATTTCAAACTACCAGTCATATTCGACTGCTTCCACACTACTCACCTCTCCCTTTTCTCTACCTTTGCCTGTCGCTTTTACATCTGAGAATCACTATTCTGTCCCCCGCCCCGTCTCGACTTTTGTCACTTTGATGTTCCTTCCCCTCTGTGGAGCCTGAAGTCAACTTAAGGGTCAATGAAAACTATCAAAACACATGCCATTCGAAATAAATAAATAAATATTATTATGAAACATTTATATATTTCCGTCAGAAATTTCATCAAATTATTTTAGATTACATAAAACCCTTCTAGTATATATGTATGTATGTATATATTCCAAAAAAGTCTTAACAAGTCTCTTTGCGTTAATTTCGTGGGTGACTCAAATTAACAGTAATTCGATAGCAATAAAAGTAATTCAATTAAGTTATACACCAGTAGTACAGAGGTCAACGTGTGCGAGCATAATTAGAGAACAGTGAATCAGTGATTGTTTTGCATGTCGATAAAAACATGTAGGAAAGTGATGATCGAAATGACTCTTAAACACATTCCTACACCTGGGTCATATTCTGTTGTAGTTCTGGCTAGCATTCAAACTCAAAAAAGAGAACTTCATTTTCTTAAAGAAGCTTTTAATGCAGATGGAATTGGTTATGCGGTCTAACTTCTAAATTCCACTAGACGATGTAAATTATCATTTGAATTCACTCTGATCTGTGTAGCATAAAACAGCGTCCCTAAACAGCAACTTTTGAGCGTTTTAGGGATCCGTTGACAGTGAATAACGTTACAATGCAATGCACTTTCGAAATCAATCCAATTTAACGATGCAATGATCAGTGAGATTATTTATACATAATTAGAACCATACAAATTTAATTTACTTCGGGGAGACATTTTGACTGATCAATTGCGTTTTCATGATAATAGATGCTCTACGAAGAGACGTCATATTCAAATAGTCTATTATTTCCTACTGAATAGTCTCTTGAACGACTCCTAAATCACATTCAAAAATCAAATATTCAAAATCAAATATGAAGGCTGATAGTTAAGTAGGACATTACTGTCATACCGGGTTAAAAATTAATTAATTTTGACTAATTATATTTGAAATTTATCAGAAAAATGGCTATTTATCTTACGATGACCCTTTTTGATATTTGAGCTCACCGTCAGGCACATGTGGAAAGTACTCTTAAACGTGATCTTCGCCTATTTATAGTACTTTTGAAGTCATGTTAGGAAGTAGCAAGAGTAGGGCCAATAACTTGTGATTAATCAAATTATTTATTTATTTATTAAATCAATTTATTGCTGAGATCATAAGACAGCCAATAAAATCTGTAGAAAATAAGCTTTTTTAATTGATGGCGAAAAAACATTTATTTATTTATATCAAATGACAGGCATTTTGATAATTATCATTTGCCCTTTAGTTAACTTCGGGCTTCGCAGAGGGGAAGCGACATCAAAGTGAAAAAAATTTGAGAGAGGGCGGGGGGGTGGGAAGAGAAGAGTGTTTCAAAGATGTTAAAAACAGACACAAAGGTAGAAAAAAGGTGAGGTGAGTGCTGTGTAGGCAGTCGAATATGACATACAGTGGGGTGAGGGAAGTTTGAAGTCAGAAGTCAACTGACGTTTTATAGACTTTTTTGCCGTATGAGTGAACGTAGAGGTAAGTCTATCGCATACCCCATAGCAAAAAAT